GAGGAAAGTAACCGGAGCCAATAACTTTACTGTCGAATAGGAGCTGGGGGGCCAAATTAGATACAGATAAGTTAAAAAAAGGAAACTCTCCTTCTGGAATTTGTTGATAACGAATACTGCATGCAAAACATAAAAAGTTCCAAGACTCTACTATGATGTGATTTTAGTATTTGTAGTGGAGCAACACAATCAAAAACTTAGAAAAATACAACGGAAGAAATCAGGTTTAACACTACACATACTAAAGCAACACATGAGATCCAAAAACCTAGTCTGTGAAGGATGGTTATACAGAACTTACACACAGAGGAACAAGCACACACTGCTAAAGAAGCATATACAGACGTATTAATATATATATATTCATATATTATATGTAAATGCCTTAATTATGAGAAACTATTGAAATATTAGAATCTTTACTGCAAAGCAAAAAAAAAAATTAAATCCCCAGAAAATAGATTTGACAAATGACTTTTGGAGATAACCTAAGCTTATTTAATCATCAGTTAGTGCAGTGACATCCTGTGGTAATATTCTGTCCTACTTATTTGCGATGAAGAACCTGATCCTGAAAGAGATACTTGGGGAACACATCACTAAATTATATAAATAATCCAAATATCCAGTGGTAAAAATCAAACGATCCCCACAAACTATTAATTACTTAGGATGCTAACTGAGGTCCTGAGCTGCATAAAGACTCCTTCATGACTGCTTTAGTACTTTTAAGAGGGAGAAGTGAAGAGAACAGATTCAGAGGGTAGCAAGACTGTTTTCACCTGGCTGGCAAGAACTCCTTGTAGGCCACAATCATGGTAGGCATGGAGTTATCAACTGAAAGTCCAGAAGAGGCCTCTTTCTTGAGAAAGGACTAAATGTTACATGTCAAGCATGTTGTGTAAGTTCGAGCTAAATGGTCGCAATAATTCCTCTTAACCCAGAACCATGCTCTTGTGAGAGTGAAGTCACTTCATATAAGACCCTACTCATAATTTTTTCTCTGCAATTATGAACTAAGGTATTTAGGGACCTGCAAGCGTCCTTTGTCTATTCTCCCCAGTACAAAGTGAAAAGTGTTTCAAACAAAACTATTTTAAACTATTAAAAAATAATTTAATACTTCATCTAAATTAGAACAGAAATTAGAACAAAAAGTGTACACAAACTTACCAAATAAATTGGTTTTCACAGTGATAGACAAATGAGTGTTATTTCTAAGGATTTCCATGGCTTTTGACAGCTGAATGTTTTCGAAGTTTTGACCGTTCACTTCCAGTATCTAAAAATACAAACACAGGTAGCATTATTTTTATTTAGCGAACAGAAAAGAAACAAAAAAGGGGGGGGAAACCCACCAAACATTTTAACATTACGTACCTGGTCTCCACGTTTCAAGCCTGCTTCTGTAGCTTTACTACCAAAATCTACACTGTCAACAAAGATTCCAAATCCCTTTTCTGACCCTCCCAGCAAGATAAAAGGCAAAGGGGCTTCTCGAGATGGCTTTGTTAAGGTTATCAATCTTCGTTTAGCTTTAGCAGCACAAGCAATATTTAACAGCCTCAAATGTCCACCCATTTTCTACAAGAGAAAAGCATAATGAGTTATATATAACAACAGCCTGGATACTCCCTGCCATCTCGAGTTGTCAGAAATTCCCCTCACTCTTACCTCCCTCTCCAAATTGTTCTCAAATTCTTCCAGAAATCGAGTCATAGCAGGATCTCCTTCAAAATCATTGAAGTGATTGTTCACCCACAACAATACTACCCGTGTAACCTGAAAATTAATCAATAATATAAATATTTTCCAGGAATACCCAGAACAGCACTAGTGCTAAGTCCTTTAAAAAATACTGCTCCTTAAAGCCTCTATAAATTTCCATTGGAATCCTAAATATTATATATATACATCCAAACCTAACTTTACTAATATGCAATCATTTACGAGCAGGATAGAATGAATTAAGTATTAAAATTATTTTCACTAGTATAAGCAGTTGTATGTTGTATTTCATAACGAATACTATGAGTTAAAAAAATTCACGCTGGCTGTATCAAATTTGATTGAGTAGGGAATAGAGCACACAGGTATGAGGCAACGAGTTAGATCCATTTCTGACTTCTAACAACAATTTCCTGTTCATGTACATTTCCAAATCTGCTTAATTCTTCAAGCACATGATCAGAAAGCTTCCGATACTGCTTTATACTGGTTCTTGAATACCACAAATCTTTAGGTAAGCCACCATTAACTTCATCAGGCATTTACCTCTGTAAAAGAGCTATTGTATGTTTAGAGAGGCAGGAAAGAGGAGCTATTGTGAGAAGCAGGAAAGAGGTTTTAACAGCGAATACATGCAGTTCTTTTCCTTAGAGTCAATCTTTCAGTTCACTACTCCTCCTCCTTTCTCTCCACCCCTACTCCCCCCAAGCAACTACGATTACCAAGTTCAGAAGGATCTTCGCTGGTATTTTACAGTTTGCTAGGAAAAAACCCTGAAGCAGTACTATCAATTAATATTATTGAAGGTAAAGCCACAAAATATGAGCTGCATTTTTAAAAACTATATGCTTCCACCATAACATTTGATCTTAATAGGTGATTTGACCTGGAACATCAGCAGCACTTGTCCTGGCAAAATAAAAGAGTTTTGATGTCTTGAATTAATATTGATTCACATTATTTTTAAAAAACTTCTGAATCCAAAATGGTTGTGCCACTCAAAGTTACCTCTAACAAATACAGCTGCATTTCTTCTGTTATGCTGGGAAAGTAAGTTAGTAGGGGAAAACCTCTAAACATTTCAAGAACTAGAGCTTAAGAACAAAATCTCATGCAAATTTTCATCAGCTAAAGCTAACACTTGTCCATTCTTTGCATCTGCACAAAATCTAAATCTCTGCAGCCTCTTATGCTAAAAGTCTGACACCAGGCATCCACAACCCAACATACACAGTTTCCAAGTGGTTTGCATTTTACCCCAGAAAAGCAAGTGAATTCAGAAGATTTGCTGAAATTAATGACCAAACTAATCAGGTACTTCAGAACTCCAGGGGAGTTCAGATTTCTAACAGGAGGCAACTGCACAGCACTGCTGTGTTGCAGCTCCCAACCACAGGGATGTAAGGCTAGGGGTAGCATTGCTGACGTAGGTGAGATTTTTCCACCTTTGAAATTGAAGATGAACTTCCTTTCTGTTAAACATCTGTGGTGGTTTTCATTAATGTAGATGACATTGGAATATCCAGACAATATCTGGTTAAATTTAGGCTAATTGCAGATTTTTAAAATTAGCTGGGAAGTTGCAAGCCATACCACGTAATATATTTTAAATCACTACAGTAACAGCTTCATTATTAATGCTGCTTTCAAAGTTGGGACTTACTAATGTACACCCAAAGGACACTGCGCTGAAAGGGTTGAACGGTGACTTCCAAAGGAATGCCATTACTTGTGTCACAAACAGGAACAGCATTAGAAGAGAATCAATGCTGTAAAATCAAGCAACCTGCTGCTGGGCAAAATCATCAGTAAGGCTGGATCTCAAGTGTCCCGGTCTGATTGCTACTGAGTACTGACCACGCTCATGAAGTTTTACTCACCCCCTTCCCTCTCCTCACTGCCTATCAGCACCTAATATAAAATAGCCAAAATCTTCCAGATTCCTTGATCTTGACTTGCTTATCTCCACTTGCCCCAAGCTGTTCTCAGACTCTTGCCTTTCTGTCAGCACTACTGGATGTCAGAAAGGGTCGGTTCTGGAGACAGCAAATCAAAGACAGACCTGATACCAGCAACTGTTCTGGCTCCTGCTTTTACAGAGGCTGAGGGCATTATCCATTGGGGGATGAGAAAAATAAGTTTAAAGAGGAACTCCAGTATCATAGCTCTGAAGCCGTAAGAAACCTATGCTAAACAATATTAGCTGCAAAGCCCTTACTCTCTGCCAAATGCAAGATCCTTCCTCCAAGGCACAGACATACTAGCACTTCTAGAAGAAATACCCAGATTTAAATATAAGTTGAAAACCAAATTTCTCTTTAACCTTATTGCTATAATTCCCTTGTTTTCAAGTTTGCAAAAGACATCTGGAAATTTTTACTAGGTTTTGTTTGGGGGGTTTTTTTGGTGCTGGTGTTTTTTTGTTTGTGGAGTTTTTGTTTGGGTTTTGGTTGGGGTTTTTTTGTTTGTGGGTTTTGGGTTTGGTTTTTTTTTTTTTTACATATGAGAAAGTTGCATACAAGTGAAAATAAAGCATTACACTGTGAAGCACAATATAGCCTCAATGGACAGTGTGCCAAAATTGGATATACAGGGCCTTCTTCTTCCATCATGGCAGTTTTGTTTAGGGAAAGGATGTTTGATTGCTTTCTTGTGTTTAGGTTGGGTTTTTTTAATGCTGTGTAAGACTCAACAGATTCTTAAAAAAGGCTATATTTTCTAGTCTCTTTATATAAAAATAAATTATCACAAAATGTTTGTCAAGTTGTGTTAACTAGTATTATGTATGGAAAACAGAGAACTTAGGTATAGGCTCAAATTACAAGACACAGTAGAATTCTATTGAATTATATTAAATAAAAATACTGATTATTGGAAAAAAGCTTTCCATATACTTGCAAGCAACTAAGTTATGTTGTAAAAACACAGCAAGGTAAAATATGGCTAATTTACCTTGCCTGAGCACATTAATACTTAAAAAAAATACAATAAAATAGGGAAAAATATTTTCTTTGTCTTATCCATATATTCTGCCATTAAAATATGTCACCATATTTGTGTCTTATTCAGTTTAGTCATTCTCTCTAAAACATATTTTATTCTTAATAGCTTATATTTCAATGCAAATGGTAACAGGTATGTATTCAGGGGATTTAACCTTATCCCTGAGGCTGGGGTCATTGAACCACTCCAACAACTTCTTGCCCACTTCCATTGGGCTGGAAAGAAAGGTCCGATATGTCAACAGGAAGTCTTCTATAAATGTTGGGTCTACCACAGAGTGCTCTTCCACCAAATGCATTGTTAACCTTTCAGCTGTTCCCTATTAAAAAAAATAAATCAATCTTCGTTATTAAAATAGATTTTCAATAAGTCCAATTTTTTTTTCTTGTAGCATGCTGACGATGCATTACACTAAAAAGAATACTAGCATCTATTGACTGGTGAGCTAAGCAAACATAACAGCTTAACCATTGTGATAAGAAATATAAAAAAATTTATGTAATTAATTTCTACAGAAATCACCTAATTACCGATGTGCATAATTATAAAGAGAAAAACTAGAAATAATAACTGTTTATTTGCAAAAATATATTTTTATAATATATAGCACTACTAATCCTGGACCTAACTTGCCAAGTTAAGAAGCTTATACAACACAAACTTTTGCAAGACATTCCCCTCTTGCTTTTACCTTGATGACAATGTGACCTTTTCTTGTTCCAGTGCGATCAAGCTCCCTGTGCTCCTTCACCATCACAATCTCCCCTTCCTCTTCTACCTTCTGCATGTTCTTTTCCACTTGATTGAGGATGCGGCAATAATCTTGCTGGGCTATGCAAACAAACTGGAAAGAATCATTGCGCACCAGTATTAAAAGGTAAAATCTTCAGAAAAAGCATTTAGACTTAAGATGCAAGTAATCTATTAATAGAAAAGATAAAGTAGCTTCTCAACCTGCAGTGAGCCAAATTTGTCTTTCCAGCAGTTCAGCTGTAATAAGCAGATGAATACACAAGCACAGTACTTCTACTACAATCTTGCAGTTAGAGGAGACCAAGATTCAACAGAGCAAAATGATTTTGCATTATCAGCCATTTTTGTCTAGCTGCTTTGACCTCCCCTCTGCTGGAGATGAAGCGCAGTATCCAAGCTGGTATTTTTTCTCCCATGCAAGCTTTTGTGTGGTATTTAGAAGCGTTAAGAGATTGAAGGGAAACCCTAGCTTTTTTTATGTGTGTGTGATTATTGTTATTGTAAATAATTTTCATTTTTCATAGCTATTATTATTAAAGTCAATCATTAAGAAAACTAACATTTATTCAATTACATGAGTGCAGGCACACAGAAACAAATTACTTCTGGATTAAAGTATACAGCAGGAAAAATATTTTCTACAATCATCTGCTCAGCCAAGAATACATGCAAGAATAGATATCGTCAGACTATTCCTAGCACCTACACTGTGCAAATATAATTAAGACCACCCAGTACAACTTAGAAAAAGAAAATGCTGTACACACTATGAATTACCTTCTATAACTTGTTAAAAGTTTTATACCTTTGTGTCTCTTTTGGGGCAAGATTAAACTGTCTTCTTATATGAACTTGGGTATTTAACTGAAAGAAAATAACAGTATTTCTTCTGATTGAAAATTAATTTACATACCTTTTCTATTTCCAGCAGCTAGTAGTAGCTGAAACAGAAATCCCACGTTTGTAGCAAAACCTTATCCTAACAAGATACTGTTTATGTACTTTTTGAAAGTTAGATGGGCAAACTAAACCAGGTGATTCCATTTACACCCATTTCAAAGGACATCTGCTGGAAAGTAATTAGCCATCAGGACCAAGCAAAAGGGTTCAAATTCACCCAGGGTTTGGGTATACTTTTCTGGATAGGAATAAGCAAATAGCAACCACATATCCAGCTTAGGCTAGTAGTTTTATGCTACGAGAAGCATTCCTTACATCTGACTGCTTGTGTTACAGCAAACATCAAGGCATTTTCCTTGAAAGGCCAGATTAGCTGAAACTAGAAGATTTTCCACTCAAACCATGGGAGAGAGAGCTCGTATTTCTTTAAGATTCAGTAGCCAAGTCAAGTAAGGAAGAATGGCTGTTACCTGTAAAAGAGCCTGTAATGGCTAATGGACCTTGAGATCCTGCTAAGGGAAAGTTTGAAGCAATGGATGTATGCACCGGGCTGCTGGGCCTCAAGTTCTGGAGAAAGCATGTAGGCAAACCTCTTCATCCAAAGTGATCCCTTATCCAGGAATTTAATTTCCCAGACTGTGGGTATGCAGGAGCCATATTTCCCAACTATTGTACAGGGTTACACACTGGAGATTTTACATATATTTGGTTTAAAATAAAACCATGTCTGGCTATGGAGTTGCATTACATACATGTATGTATGTGATTTTGCATGTTCTACAGTCCGACACTCTACCTGGCAGTCATCCACTTTGGTTCTCATCACTCCTTTCATATATTCTTTTTCCATGGTAGGGGAAACACCAAAACTGTTCCCCATGCAGAGTATTTCTGTTCTTCCATCAGGGTACGTCACCTCCACAGAGCCATTCAAAATGACTGACCAGGAATCCAGCTACAAATCAAATGTTGCAGGACACATGAAAACTGAATCACTTAGCATTGTAATATCATACCATATAGATACCACTCTCACAATTTTTCCAAAGGAAAGGTTTTTTTAGCACCTATTTAAAACATTTATAAGCTAGTTTACCTTAAATGTGCAACTATTTCCAGCTCAAGAAAACTGAGATCTTAAATTTACCTTTAATGTTCAGGGTTTATGTAAGATTGTAAAAAAAAAAAAAAATTAAAAAAAGGGAAAGAAGGTTTTGAAACATCACCTGAACACCGAAATAAACTCCCAATCCAGCTTCCAATGCAGGAAGCATTTTGTATATTATGAAGAGTATTTTCTTCTGCTTTTAATGCATAAGAAATGTTGTGTGAATGTGTAAACAAAAGCTTTCAAACTAATCCGGAACAAAAAGAGGTTTAATTTACCTGCCTAATGTTACTTTTTTTTTGTTTGTTTTTAATTAAGCTACAAAAGAGGACCTTAACCCTGTGGAATCTGGGATGTTTGGTATAATAGCAGAGTCAAAAGCAACTTCTACTGACCTCTTCCCCATCGTTTAGTACAATAGTTCCCGCTCTCTCCACAACTGCAAACACCATTACAGCACAGAGCTCTCTCCTCACTGACATTGTCATGTTGGCAAAAGCAGGCAATTGATGCATGAATTCCAGTAGTTGTTCTGAAGGAGAAAAAGCCCACTGAGTCGTGCATGTCAAAACAACAAAGCACAGTAAAGACAGTTCTTCAGCAAGATGCCGGAGGCTACTTAAGCTAAAATGCTGCACAATCGTTTCTGTATACTAATAAATCATGTACAGTGGCCTGTTGTAATTACTGGGTATTTTGTAGACACAGACTGGCTGGTCATATTATCAATAGAAGCCCTGCAAAGTAAAAGTCAGCATAATGGAAGAATTGTAATGTAACTGAGGGCTCTGAATACAACCAATGATATCTGCAATACTCCAGCCAGGGCAATAACTCCTTAAGACTATGATAGGCCTACATAAAACACAGCAAGACATTAAGAAGGGAAATTTCACAAAACTGAGCAAATTCATTGGTAAAGCCATCCTTTCCTAGGCTACACTTAACAGTAAATTGTACTTGATCATCATCTGGCGGATTCACAAAGTTCTCCTTGGACAGACCAGACAGGATTACTGTCTTAAAGGTGACTACTGCCCTGTCTTCTGCATGCACTGGAGCTGCACTTGTACTCAACAGTGAACTTATCCCGTATTTTCACTTTTTAAATTGCTCATAACTACAGACTCAATTTTTCTTAGTAGTCCTGCTGAGGGATGCTAGTCATTTTTGCATTCAGTTTGATCTAAAATACCTACTGAAAGAAGTCAATAGGACCTCATAATTTTCCTAAATTTTTATTTACGCAGAATTGCTGAATGGTGAGGTTAGAAGGAACCTCTGGAGCTCATCTGATCAAACCCACCTGCTCAAGCAGGGCCACCTATAGCCAAATGCCCAGGACCATGTCCAGATGGCTTTAAGAATATCTCCAAGGAGGGAGATCTCTCCACCACCTCTCTGGGCAACCTGTGTAGCACTTGGTCACAGTAAAAAAAAAAAACCAAAACAAACATTTCCTGGTGGTTAGACAGAGCCTCCTGTGTTTCAGCTTGTGCCCATTGCATCTGGTACTGTCACTGGGCACCACTGAAGAGCCTGGCTCTGTCTTCTTTACACCCTTGCTCCAGCTATTTGTACGCATTGATGAGATCCCCCTGAGCCTCCTCTTCTCCAGGCTGAAGAGTCCCAGCCCTCTTAGACCTTCCTCATATAAAGAGATGCTCCAGTCTCTGATTCATCTGATAATCAGCCTTAATCATCATTTAGTCATACTTTGATAAAACAAAAAAAATTAAAACTCAGCCAGTGAAACAGATTAGATTAGAAACTCTAAGAATTTGAATTCTAGTTCTGCTTTGCTTTCAATGTATTAACCTGGACGTTAACACAGCAAATTAGTTTGATTAGATGCACATTTGCATACAGGTCTTAACGGTCCCAATGTTTAACAGAAACGTATATCTTTGCTTTGCCAAGCTACTGTCTTACTATTTTCCAGTTCTGATATCAATTAGAAGTTGAAGCTTGAGATCAAAAGGGCCAGCAACTAATAGCGTTCACTCACATTATGTGTGTTTTCCTCCTCTTCTTTGGCTGTACGCATTCACTGGCTGAATTTATAGCATTTATGAATTACCTTACAGAATAAACACTAAACTTACCAACTACAGAAGCCAGTGATTAAAATAAAACCTCAAGCTCAAAAAATAATTTATTTTTGGTGGAGAACAAGTTTGACCATATTTTACTACATGGCAATAACTTACCAATGTCATCATCTGTCCTGTCTATTGGGTCTTTCTCCAAGCAGTCTCTAACAATATCCCTACTCATCAAAGGATCTGATGCCCTTTCAATGTCTTCTTCGTCGTCATCATCCTCAGAATCCACTGCTGTCTCTGGCAACCCACTGAGATCCATATCACCAGCCTCACTTTCTGTAGCCTAAATTCATGTATAAACAATTAAAAAAAAAAAAGAAAACATTCAAATGCTTCACTGCTACTAGTTTTCTAGTTAAATGTACAGAAATTAATTCTATTACCTAATTGATCACTCAAATTCACTCAATATTTTGTATATTGCTTTTTTCTTTACATATCTTTTTAAAATAACTTACAATTAATCAACCCAAAACCATTGTTTAAATAGGTCTTTTAACACTTGTTTCAATCAGCCACACAAAGAGGATTCAACAGACATTATTTAATCAGTGCGTCTTGGGGGAATTGAAGGCAGTCATTTCGAGGAACAATTTCTTGAAGTATTAGCTGAATATATTTTTTAAAAAATAAACAGTGCATTTAAAACAGTTTCAGTTCCCACCCCAACTTTACGTTTTCAGATACTTAGGAATACAGTGTAATTTTAAATAGACAGTTTTGGGCAATAAGTACAGCATCAAAATGCTACGGGAATTTTGCTGTCTCCCACTAACCTAGGACTGTATTTTTCTTTCACAATTCCAGTTGAACACAGTTAAATATAGCTTTCATTGGCTGATAAACTGTATAAGAATTTACAGATGCAGAAAAAATGCGAAGTCACTGCTTAAACACCACAGATGGACTACTTGGCAAACTGGCAAATTTCACCTACTTTAAACTGTATTAAAATGAAGGAGAACATAGTCCATATATAGCCTGAGGTCATTAGTATAGCACCTAAAGGTAAATACATTTTAATGATTTAATTTTAAGACCAAACACTTAATAAATCCCACAAACATTTGTCTATCATGGGTGATAAAGCTGCTTTTTCTGAGAACCTGATTTAATACCACGGCAGCTGCCGAGGCTCAGCTATGACAATTTTTAAGGAAATGCCAGTTTCTAATGAGCAAGTTTTAAGCCATGGCTCGAGAAATCAAGTTTCACATGCCTTATAGGGATGGTTTGTTTCTGAGACTCTGGAAGCACGCAACACATTCACATCTACTTTAAAAATACTACATGGAGCAAACACAGCTACTAAAGCCTGTTTTAGCGACCTGTCTCTCACACTGGTAAAAAAACCCACCCAAAACAAGGTCACCCTCCAAACGTAGAGAAGGTAAGACAAATTACGTCAGTATTTTCCTAGAATCATCTTCCCTGTTTCTGCCTCAGTAGCTGCGTCTGACATCTGTTACTGTCACGGCCTGATACGTGGCCACCTTATGAACGGTAGCATATGGCTGGACACAGATCGGGGCAGCGACTGTCATTCCTAAATGCTTCTGTCCTACAGCACGACACAAGCTTTCTAACAGGGTCTTGTTAATATAAAAAGCATGATAACAGCACCTACACGATATTCAAATTATTCTCACTTCGTAGTTTGTTGTTTTTGAAGAAAAAAATGCTAAGCATTTCTTAAGCAGAATAAAGATGGATGTTACCGGCATACAAACGAACCACAAAAACGATAGCGCTGATAGCTGTATTTTCATTTGCAGTCTCACTCTGTTTAACATCCATGTTCCCTATGACATATTTGAAACAGTTGCTGTAACTACTCTTTCAAAATAGGCTTCATCAAAAGCGACTGGTGGAAAAAGCAGTGACGATGGAGTCAGCAGACACAGCTTATGACACCAATCTGTCAGGATCAGAAGTCTTCAACAGCAACAATTCCAGTGACAGTGGGATTCACCAATTCACAGTCAATTTTGCAAACTTTCCCATTACTAACAAGCGCCCCTCCTACCTGCCCAGATTAAGCTCTCTCAAAAGGACGTTAATAAAATGACTGCAGAATTTAGTCATGCAATGCTAACATACATGAGAAAATTCCACATATTGTATAAAATCTGATTATTTAAAGACTAGTTTTTTTACTATCTTAAAACTAGAAAACAGAACTGGATAGAAGTTGAAGCTCTATTAGCAAGAGAAGTTGATGCTATTTAAAAAAAAATTCTCACACTGAAATTAAATGCAAACTTTGTATTCAGAAAATACTTTAAAAATACTGCTAAAGGCTACAAGCATTTCCCAAAGACGATCACTTTTTACCAAGCTAATTAAATCTTTTTGACAATTGAAGTTATTGGTAGAAACCTGAATGATAACAGAACTAGTTCTAACTTACTAGTTATCAAAAAATACAAACCACTGCAACAAAGTTCAGAATTGAACGCAACAATCCACAGAGTAGTAATAAAAATTATTAATTTAACTTAGAACACCTTTAAAAATAAACCTCATCTTTTGAGAAAAAAATATTTTTTTTCAAGTAACTTTCTGAAAATATTATGATTACACAAAAGTTAGAAAAGGAACACAAATGTAGCCTTTCCACATAGGCAACAGGCATTCATAGTAGCAAAGTATCAAACAACTCATCCCTGACTCCTGTTTATACACGCAAAAAGTTTTGCATGAGTTTTGTTACATTATTAAGAATAATCAAATCTGTCTTCATAGTAAAAGCACACACAAATTTACCTACAAAAACATTGCAAGTAGCTTCTTTAGGCTTAGTAGCATGTAGTAGCATACTTAGTAGTATGACATTAAGTATTCAAAGTCCTCTTGCTGACACGTTAAACTTCATAACCCACCTACTTTGAGTACTTTTGTACTCCCTCATGTTCTAGAAAAATCCAGCATGTCCACGCAGGAACACAGTTATGAAGCAACAGCCACGCATTTATGTAAAACTAAAGGAAAAACCTTGATTAGCTCCTTTGAGCACAGGGGCTTCCTTATAAACCTCCGCAGCAGAAAATCCAAAACACCAGGTGAATACCCGACAGAATTTGTACTACAGTCAATCACAAGACTTAGAACTTCTCAGGGCATGTAATCAAGGATGAAATACAACTCAGGAATCAGAGCTTCCATAGGTGCATGTTGTCCTTTGTTTCTAGAGTAATAAGAGAAATTAGCTTCACTTAAATAAATCTAAAGAGATTGCAAGTAAGAAAAATGGTGTTTGCAGCTTAAAGTACAAAACAATGTCTCTCCAAAGTCTGAACACCAGCTGCAATAAAAATTTTCTTCACAGTTGGAAAGATGGCATGAGAAATTTGCTGAAGCTTCGAAGGAATCACATAATAGTGACAGCCTAATATTTTATTTGTCACATCACCAACAAGAAAGCCAGGAGACTAAGACAGACATTTTCAAGCCTGAGGTGAAGAGTTATTTCACATTTGGTACCTAAGGAGAACCTGCACAATTTTAAGCAGTGTCTATAAAGGCTAATATTGTACTAATATAAAAATGGTTGCTCCAACTGCTAAGGATCTCCAAGTCCAAAATCACTTCTAGATGCGAGTGATAACAGCTAATTAAACAAATACTGTGAAAAAACTAGAAAAAGATGCAAAGTAAAGGAGCTCTGTGCAAGTTCTCAGTTAGCCTTTGGCTCCTTGACTGATTTGGGGGGGGAGGATGGGGGGGGTGTGTATGGGGAGTGAGCGTGTGTTTAAAAAAGAAAAGAAAAAGTACTATAATTCATTCCCCTTACGTCAAACTGGGCAGACTGGGGAAATGGAAGACCCTGTTGGTCCCTTTAAACTGGTATGAGAAGAAACTGATTAAGCCCAACTCTACTGGTCTTTCATTTTTTTGGAGGCATCATGAACACAGACAGAACGAGAGAGGCAATGGACTACACGAACAGCTAAAGAAGATGACCTCCTTTACCACCTCATTTCTTTCTCCAACCAGTTTTGAGGTATCT